TTTGTCCCTTGGATGTTTGATTTTTAGAAACGAATCAACCAGTGCAGAATACACACATTGATTGAAGACGGCGTACAAGCGTTAACGTTAGCTGGTTTTGCCGTGCGTAACCCAGTGCTTGAGGTGGTGCGCAGGGTGGTGCGCAGCCTGGCGCTTAGAGTGGTGCGCGCGCACCACTCTGCGCACCACCCTGCGCACCACTTTGCGCACCACTGCCCGCACCACTTTAAACACCCCTCTGAGCACCCCCGATTGTGCATGGAACCACTTTTCAGTGTTTTCAGTCACCAACTTGAGAGAGGAGGGGGTGATTGAAAGGTAGCAGGCAATCACAAATAACCCTGCGGTAGAAGTCCATGACGGCGTGAACCGGCGCAGGGGGATTTGATCCAGGGCCCCCCCCCGCCCCCGACGAACAGAATCATTTCTTACAGGACCAAACTCAATCGCAATCCCAACTCCTGATTGTAATACATTTGCGCTAAAGCAAGGAGAACTCAGGTAGCTCAAGCTACCTTTCGTGATTTGTCATTATTGAACGTCACACATCGTGAAAAAAAACCGCGTCTTTTTCCTCAGTTCCGCAGTCCGGCTGGTTTGGTTAGTCAGCGTCATTTGACGACACATCCTCATCGTCGCTTGACGACTCATTTCCGGGCAAGGCCAGTGTCGTCGCTTGAGAGGATGGCGTAGGAAGACGTATTGGCAGCGTTGGTAGACGGTTGTCCCCAAAGTGCCCGAAGCAAAGCACCGCGAACAAAGTCGAGCCCACTACGGGCATCGACATAGCATTGCCTCCGAACAAGCGGAACGTGGAGAGACGTGACATAAATACTGATACACTGATACGATACGGTACACAAACATCAACAGACCATTTGTTTGCACTGGTCCTTGGCTAGGCGCTTTTAGGCTTTTAGGGTTTTTTACGTTTGACCTCGGCGCCTGTCAGCATGCTCCACAAATTCGGCTTGGTGCACTCCGCAAAGCTCAACTTGTCGATAGCAAAGCCGTGCCTGGGTCGGTGAAGGCGCCAGCAAAAGGAAAATAATAGACGGAATGCAGACGCAATGCCTGTACTCAATTGTTATCGTCCCTCCTTGCTTTTGCTGGCTCACCTTCTGTGTTATTTTCGAATCTGTTTGTTTCATTCCTTTTCTAGATCCTAGGGTTGCGGTGCTGCATGGTCGGTCGGTCGGTCGGCCTTGTCATCGTCGTCAGTTGAACCGGTGAAACGAACCGACGCTACATACTTAATCACCTCCTATTCTTGGGGTGTTTGCGTCCCCTCCGCACTATTGATTGTTCTTGGGGTTCTTGCGTCCCCTCCGCACTATTCTGGGTCTTTGCGTCCCGTCCGCTGGGTATTTTTCTTTCTTTTCGCTTTCAACCTACAACCTACAGTTGAAACAGATGCCTGGCGGTGTATGCACGCCACCGACAGCGCGTAATCACATTTCTCGATTTGCGCAAGTGTCATTCAACGTTAATTTGGCAGCGGTGACAGCTAGACCGTTAGTGTAGCAGCATATATTAAAACTATATATGTTTCGATAACAAATGAAATACAAAAAAGTTAGATATAGAAAATATATAGTATATTATATATTTATAGTGGTATATGTTTCATCATTGTACGCTAACAACATTCGAACTTCAACATGTCCCTGTATGGCAGCCTGGCTGCGCCACCATTTAGCCAAGTACCAACAGAGTGTACTTGGCTTGATTGAAATTGTGCAACAGAAGCCTTCGTTTGAAACCAAGTGACATTCCCAACAGTTCCCACCCATGTAGCACTCGCTCATGTCTGAAGCTGTAAATCCGTGAGTTGGTGGTAAGCCTGATGAAGGCTCTGCTCTACAAGTCTACAAGTGCAGCATTTTGACGTGACATGACAATATGCCCAGAAAAGCTCAGGCCCGAACGAGGGCAACATGCCATCCGTTCTGAAAGCCTTCCGATCCCAAGACTTGACGATATCGAGAAGCAAAGTGTCCGTGGGAAGGCCAGCTCTTGTAGCGGTCCAATGCATCGCGTTGATCATCATTTCCTCCCGAATGCGGATGGTCCTTCTCCAATTGGCGTTGTTGGAGCAAGCCTGACGAGAGTGCCTTAGCACTTAGAGAAGTTGGAGTTAGAACAGCGCCCGTGCACCCTGGAGCTTTTCAACCTATGGTGCACTGCAGGCTGCCACTAAGAAAAACCGACGGTCTCAAAGGCGCAAACCAAGTGGCACTTCAAACTGCTCTGGCGTCAATCCCTGGAGGCCAAGTTTCTCCTTCAACTCAACCAACCACTTCAGATTGGCTGCGCTCAACTCATGCCCCGCTTGTTCTTCAGGCAGCTCCTGCTCAACTGGCCCAAACAACAGCAACACCAACTGTGACCGTGAACAAAAGGGAAACGAAAGCTGCAGAGTGAGCAAGCAGAAGGACCCGACCACACAAGCACGCTATGGAGGATGAGGAGATGATCTGGCCAAAGACCGACCGGCAAACCAAGACCCAAGGGTAGAGGAATACAGAATGAAATCACCTCAAAGCAAATCAAAGCGTTTTGCGAAACAAACTCTTAAGGCGTCTCTTTTTCTGCAGTTGCCACCTGAACTCCGCACTGCTAACCCCCAAGCGCAGGTCACCAGGAATGGTGAACCAAGTACGGCGTTGGGCAACGGCCAACTCTAAACTGAACTACGCCGCCAACACATTGTCTGTCCTTTGTTGGCAGTCCGAGACCTAAACTGATTCAGGTAGGTCGACAAAGCCTGAATCCTACTGAGTGCTGGCCTGTGCTGTGTGCACCTGAGGCCAGAAGCTGAAAAGCAGGCGCTGATTCAACGCAGCAGAGAACAACAGCAAACCTTGTCAAACCAAGTTTTTGCCTTGCAAAAAGCAACCAAAACAACACAAGAGCGCCAGAAGCTTTGGTCGGGTGAGGCACAAGCGCTGATTCTCACATGAAGCCGCACCACATCTCATATAGCCTATAGCATCATATAGTCGTCATAGTATCAGTCTTGGTCATAGAAACATAAACACATCATACCATATATCTTTCACGCATACCGTATACCGTTTTATGCACGAGCGCATGTGAGTCCCTCACCAGTTCTCAGGACTAGACTAGATCTCATTCGGATCAGCTAGTCTGTCAATCTGCTCACTTGGCGTCATTTCCCCCCTCCAACTCTGCAGACTTCCTCTTCTTCCTTTCTGCAGAAGGCGGAGCAGGAGGCGGCATGGTCTTCGAATCCTGCCAAAAAATGCAACGTTGACTAGGACTTCGAGTTTATGTACCAAAATTATTCAGAATTGACACCTGTCCGTTTGAGTCAGCGAGTGGGTCTGGACAGCCTGGCGTTTTGGGGCGTCCTTGGCTGCTTTGTCCAATTTTTCGGTCAAGATCTTCGGCAGATCCTTCTTGGCCATGCGAAGGCTTTGTGAGGCAAATTTGTAAAAGTGTGCCACTCTCCCGTTGAAATCGGTCTGGTTGGGTTTCTTGTCAAGAACCATGTCACTCCCAACCAGGCATGCCACCAACAAGCTGGTAGAACCCGCAGTCGGTTCCCTCACGTGTGCTGCAAGCATGGTCGAGAAAGCAACCTTCATTGTGGCTAGGCAGTTGCTCTCTTCAAATTCGGTCGACCATTGCTGAAAGGCAGCAACTGCTTCCTGCATTTCAGAACCTTGACAGCTGGCAGGGGTGCCCGGGACGCCAGTTAGTTATATAATATAAAATAATATCATATCATATAATAGGCTATAGGCTCTAAGCTATGGACTTTATAGGCTATAGGCTCTGAGCTATGGCTATTATACAGTATATCCGCCGTCCCTCTGCCTCGCGCAGAGGTGAGGTGAACGTTCAGATCTTGTGTTGTGGTTGGGCTCTTTTTGCGGCGTGTCCTGCACAAAGGTTGTTCGTCAACGTTCTTGTTTGCCGATGTTCTTGTGGTTTATTGCCTCGCAAAACCTCGCGTGAACCACAATCATGGACCAATGAATAAATACACGCCTTTTTGTATCTTACGCCGACATCATCAAGGTTAATCATTGCCCCACCCCGCTGTCTTGTCCACAATCACACACTTGCTCCCTTTGGCATTGGTTTTTTGACCCAGCCTCCCCGTGGTTTCTGTGGTTGGGCCCCCTTTTCGCTGCTGCTTCATACGGTTACAGTTTCTGTTTATGTTATGCTCTTACGCAACGCTCAAGTTACACGCCAATGACAATTGACAACATTTGGCTCAAGGTACATGCGTGTGACAAAAGCCGCTCATTCGCCTTCGCTCACTCCCTCTTGTGGACACTTGGGTTGTAAGCCAGCGGCTAGATCCAGGGTAGGTTGATTGAAGCCTATTTCCTCCGTTGCCACTGCAGTGGCAATTATTCCTTTTTTGGGAAGGTCTTGTCTTCCTTCGCTAGGGAAGCTCCTGCCCATGCACTCCACATACACAACATATCCCCCATTCACGGATCCATACTCTGTTCTGACCCCTTTCCTCCTGCACCTGGTTTCCCGCTTTGTCTCACAAATCCTGCCCATCAGTTCTTGCCTCTCGGGGTGGCGGACCTGGCCGAAGGCCGTTCAATGAGATAATATATATCTATATAATATAAATATATTATATCTTTGTATATCTACTAATATTACTACTGTAATGCTTTATATATATAAATTATGATATATAGTCGTTATACCTTATATATATGTATTATTTTAGATCTGACTCTGACTTATGTAAATAATAAGGTTGGTTTCCAAAATGTATTTTCCCAAAACGGTGCATTCATCGCCATTCCATGGGGCCCGCTTCTAAATCTCCTGGGGGCCCGCTTCTAAATGAAGACTTGAAGACACATCTCCAACCTTAAAAGTTTACGTTTATCATCTATTTTTTTGAATGTGGTTTTTTGACCGCAGTCCATATACTGGCTTTAGGCTACAGGCGCAAAAAAAGCTCGTGTTCTTTCTCCAAACATCAAGGGACGTTCCACTAAATCGTTCACCAGGTCTTGAGCTTTCTGGTTTGCTTCGGTATCGGTGCTGGGGCCCAGCGTCCGCTTGATCGCATCCTGCGACGCAGCTTGAACTCAAGATCACAATTTGCGCACATTGCAACGCAGCTGCCGAAACAATAAAAATAAGTATGTTGCCACTACCATACTGCCTACTGGCATAGCCATAGCCTATAGCCAACAATCCATGCGACCATGCCGCGCAAAAGTCCTCGTCCCAGACCAACACATCCTTGACAATCTGCCCGTACTTCTCAAACACGGGTTTGAGCTTCTCCTTCTCGGCCAGAAGAGTCTCAGTTAGGGACTTGATGGTTTGAGCCACGGCGCCAAGCAATTCTTTCTGCCAGACTTTGATGTCTTTGAACCCAGCAAATGAATGTAGATCCGTGACTTCATCACTCAGGTGCTGCACCTGCATCAACCGGTTGAAGAGCTGACGAACAGAGGCTTTGGTAGGAGAACTGTCCAAGTCCAAGTCCACAGTCACATACTCAAGATTGACCAAATCGCTGCAAACCTCCAAAGCGCGGATGAGCGCCCCGGCTGAGCGATCCAAAGTAGACCTTACAGACCCGTCCATTTGCCGCAGGGAAGACTCAAGGCCCTGAGATAGCAAAAGCTTCATAAAGGAGACCTGCAGCCCATCCTTCTGCTCTGAACTGGCCAGGGCCATCAAGCGGCGGTTGCATTCCATGAGCTTCTTGACCATCTGGTCAATTTGAATACCTGCGGGATACAATGTTTGTTTTTTGCACTCAATTGGAAAGGTGGGTATTGAAAAACAAGGTTTCCAGGCCACCTGGACCTTGCTAAAGCCGCGGCAGAATCGTAGCACTGTGGGAAAAAGAACAAGGTTGCATCATACAAGGCAGGGCACAGTTCCCTGTCGTCTCGCTAATATCGGTCATCGCACGGAGATCAGCCTCAAGCATGGGCCCAACTTTTGCCTTGCTAAGCTTGGACATGGCCTGGACAGCCTGCGTGAAGGAATCCACAGTCAAGGCGGCGTCCGTCTTCCCCACACACGTCTGACATTGAACGAGCTCGGTGAGGGCAGTCGTCACGTTCCACAACCATCTGCGCGAGGTTGTGGGGACCACCTGCAACAGGTTGGGCAGTTTCACCAGTTGAAAGTCTGGTCCCCACATCCCTCAAATTTCAAGTACTGTGCGTTTGTCTTGAATCGCGCTGTACAAAACGCTGATTTGCTCAAGAAGCCTTGGTTTGCAGAAGCCATGTCTGAAGACGCGCTGCGCCATCACGCTCAACGAGCTGAATCACATTTGCTGGGAGCGGCGCCGACAGGGAAGACCAAAATTACTTGGCATCAAGGGCAGTGGTAGCATCCACCAAAACGTCCAAGCCGTGTTCCTTGACCAAGCCTTCCTGCAAACGAGTCTTTAGTCACAGAATTTGCCATGAAAACTTAAGTTGATTGATCCACAGATGATCCACATGTCAACATGTTTGTCTGTCAAACATTGGTTGACCCAATTTGGTTTCACACGTCTGTCAAACTCGTGCGAAACAAGCTTCCACTTTCTGGGCCAATGCTGCTAGGTTGGCACGCTTGTCTTCTGGCATGTCCGAAGCCGGCAAAGCCCGCAAGGCCATCTCTGCTTGAAGCGCATGGTCAACAGCAGGCCACACCTCCTGCATGGGAAACAATTACTATTAATATATTTTGGACAGGCCCCGTTCCAGTCTTGAGTCTTGAGTCACTTCAGTCACCAGTCACTTCAGCTCTGCGATTCACTGGCTTTGACAAACTGGAATCTCCTGCGAAAGCAACTGGAGGACTGACTTCTCTGAGGTTGCCTGCTCAATGGCCCGAACGATTTCCGAAGAAAGCTCCTTCTCTGCATCCAGCGCATCACTTGCCGCAGATGAGGGAGACACAGCGTTTCGCGCGGCTGCTTCCAGCTTTTGCCACAATTGCCTGCGAGAGTGAGGACCGACTCAAAAAACATTGAACAGCAGTGTCAGCGCCAGTGACCAACATGACCAAACCAACAATCAAACGGCAGGGACATTGTATTAAAAATCAATATAGAATTTGGCTGAGGCGCTTGCCCACATTGCTGTGGCTCATGACTTTCTTCACTCGTTGACTGCAGACCGGTTTGAGCTGCACGGCGAGCTTGGCTTCGTAAAGCTTCATGCTGCTGGCATCACCCCAATTAGGAGTGCACATGAGCCGAAGAACTTGCCCATCAAGTCGAGCTTGAGAGGAGAACTCTAGGCTGGCTCCATCTGCGTCCTTCTCCCAAAGATCCTTGGTGGAGATGGTGTCTGTCTTTGCCTTTGCCTCCAACTTGCGCATGTCGATCATGGGAATGTGGCACCTGAGCCCAGAGCTCGAACGACTTCCGAACCGGAAACCAGGGGGAGACCAGACAAACCCATCTTAAACAAACAGACACAAAAAGAACATTGTATCTGGCGCGCCAAGCAGCAAATCCACCACGCGCTGGAATTTCTCAGCGCTTTTTGACCTGTAGAGCTTGTCGTGCCACAAAGTCAACAATTGCTGCTGAAGCTTTGCAATGACGTCCGTGCCACACTCTCGCAGCTGTCTGCTGCCACGGAATACCCCAAACCACAGTTGAGGCAGCCGGGCTTCAATCCACAAACAGTGAAGAAGGTGGCTGAGGCTTCCGGGTTGTTTGAGTCCGAATCGTCCTTGTCGAGCTCCTTCAAGCACTCCTGGGCCACGAACAAGATCAAACTGGACACAAGGCTGTAGGGAAACTTTGAGATCATCTCCAGCATCTCTTCCGGCATGTCTCCTGCAAACTTGAGGGGTTGCCCACGTAAGTCTGCAAACATTTCAAACTTGGGCTCAAGACCTTCAGAGAAGTCAGTGATTCTGTCGGTCAACTCAGTGGCCCTCGGGTGGTTGACACTGGAGAGCTGGTCCATGTAGGAGCGCAGTGATTTCACTGCAGTTTGCACAGGCCTCTTCTTGACCTTGTTGGCCCACAAATTGTAATCTGATAGGCTTTCTTCATATTTGTTCAAAGCACCCTGCGCTTTCTCAAGCAAGTCATTATGCTTCTTGGGGATCTCGGGCTCAGCCTCGCCTGGCGCCCCAGAACTAGAGCCTGGAGTGCGTACCTCAAGCTCTTCCGGAAGGGGAGTGGCTGGTGCAGAAGCGACAGACCACTGTTGAAACCTCTCTCGGCCTTTAACGTTCTCTGGCAGAGCCTCACTACGAGAAAGCCGGGCCCTTGGGTGCTCGAACCCCTTCTGATTCTGAGCAAACATCCCGGGCATCGGTTTTGGTGGCTGCGGTTCTGCGTCTGGATCCTCAAAGAGATCAAAATCCAGGCGCACTGGTTCGACATCTTCCATCATCATCGAGCTGGAACTTGGACCACTGGCTGTCTCGTGCTGACCCTCGCCCTGGTTCACGCTTGAAACGAATGACTGCAAGGATTTCAGCGAAGGCTTTTGCTTCAGCATCGCTGAGTGCTTTCGCTCAGACTCTTTGAATACAGCTTCGCAAGCAGTTGCATCACCTTGGCAATCAGTGTGGTCCTGGCAGAATGACAATTACGGTCCAAATGTCAAACGGCCAAAACGACCGCCAACAAGGTGTTAAGGAATAAGGGCGATGAAAATGAGCATGAGCGGGGAGTGCTTGACCAGTGTTGGGGGACACCTGTTTCATGCTTTCCTTTATTCATTAGTTGACACTTGTTGAACATCTTCACATCTACGCATGACTTTAACTAACTAAATAAACAACAGAGTGTTTGACATGAGGATTGCAGCTGTCCTGAACCTTTTCCGTGGATACCTTGTTCCCGACCCGCATCCTTTTCCGCCCATCGTCATGATCAAGCAGTAGAACACCAGGCTTCCCTGAAATCCAGCGAATCTCCTGTGCGCAAACTTGCTGAACCCACTGAACCTGTTGTTGTTGCGTGTCCAAAGCTGGACCGCCAACATGCATGATGAAGGCGGCGACAGGAAACCATGTGGCATCTTCAAAGGTCTCCGCAAACCTAAGTCGGGTGGACCATGGGAGTGACACGCGCAAAAAACTAAAAACCTTGCAAAGCACTGGAGAAGCTGGCTACTATAGGCCGTATGCGTTGTGGCCTGTGACTTTGGCCTCTTGCAAGTCGGGTAGTCAAAGAGTAGCGCTGCCAGCGCCAGTCCCAGTCAGAGCCATGTCAAGAGTCATGAGTCATAACTCAACTCATAACTAGTCCTAATTCCAAATTCCTAATCCAACAGTCCCAGTAGTTTGTTCAGTTCGGAACTGCTGTTAAGGCCAAGAGGCGAATCTCGCTTGGTGGCAGCTGAAACATCGTATTGATTGTTGGTCACACGCTGGCCCGGAATCGCCGTCTCCCTGCGACGTGTCTGCCAGGTAGAGTTCATGTCCTGGAGCACTCACTAAGACGGAGGCAAGTTAGAAAAGAAATTAATATGCGTCTTCATTGCTTGGCTGTGTGTTTGTGACTGTGTGTCTGGCCTTGCCTCATTCTCGGCCAGATTCTTCTTCAAGGTAGCGGCAGGCATACGACCAAAGGTATACATACGATTCTTCTGTCAGGGTTCGGGCCAAGTCGGAGAATTAAATTCCGAACGCAAGTTACAAGGTGAATTGTGGGAGATTGAAATAAATAAGGAGGCCTAGTGAGAGTAGGTAGCAGGTGTCTGATCCTGGCCTCGCAGGGCAAGCATTCATAACCTTCCGGACAATCCCTTTTGCCAGATGGCCCCATCTTGTAGCGCGCCCACTTCAAAAGGACTTTCTGAGGTAACATGTACCGGTCGTAGTCGCCTGCCTTCTGATCGCACAAGGTGCATGAAGGTGCTGCCTTTGACAAGGCCATTCCGACCAAGGAACCAACAACGAAGGCAGCGAGACAAAGCCACAGAATCAACGAGTCGTGGCGTCTGAACCAAAAATGGCTAAAGAAGCAGCCTGATTTATTTCCAACCTGCAGTCTTCAGCATTGTAGCAACTGCTCACAAACTTCGAAGCCGGAAGAGAGAGAAAGAGAGAGAGAGAGAGAAAGAGAGAGAGAGAGAGAAAGAGAGCGAGGGAGGGAGATTAATTCAGATTCACAACGACGTGCAAACCCCTGATTCCGATTCCATTGATCAGTCTTCGCCCTCTGAATTCTCAACAATTTTCCCTCTTGACTCATGACAGTTTGGTAGAACACGGTGTCAAAGGCATTTGGCTGTGACCAAGCGACCCAAATGCCTGGCAATTGGCCGTTGACAGGAACTAAGGCTCTAAGGAACTAACTAATGAACAAAGAACAAATGGCAAAATCAGATGATCTGATCTTGCCCCGCCAACCTTTGCCTCCGGTGTGGCGGCTGAAACGGAGCAGCCACAGCGTGCAGAGCAACTGCCCGGTTCGAAAAGATTTTTTTCGAGTTGCCACCGCCCCCGCGACTCCCATCTGTGTAAGTCCACTTCGAAAACCCTTTGTCGATCTCCGTCTCTGTGAAAAGGCCGTACAGGCGCAAACGAAGAAGGCATTCGTCCAGAACATCCCCCAAGGTCCTGTGGGCTGCCAAACAAAAGGTTGGGAGAAATGTGGGGTCGTTTTCGCAATCAGCCTCAACGAAGACGTCTTCCATGTCCACGCGATCCAAAAACACCTTGAGATGGAGGTTGATGGATCGAATCGGTTTCACAAACATCCACTCTGAATACTCCGCGTGTTTGAATATCAGGCCATATGGATTGCTCCTGAGCATTGGTCCGGGGGGACACCAAACCAGCCTTCAGTGTGCTTGGAAATTGTCTTGAGTATTATGGCATTGAATATTAGAGGAAAATTGCCATTGAGTAATAGAAAAGCCAAAGAACACCCGAACCAAAACTTCAAACAACATCGCAAAGTATCATTACTCGTGCGCATTGATATTTGGTTTTGCAGTAGTGTCTCCGTTGAACAACCGTGGGCCAAGCAGTACTCAGGCCGTGTGAGATAGCCTGGCTAAGGATGTAGTTGAAACTTCCGTTCTGGCAGTTGGAACAAGTATAGAAACTCAACTGGCTCAGCTTCATCGACATCAAGCTCTCGGGTAATGGCATCTCGTTGAAGAAGCAATACTCCCACTTGAAATCGAACGCCTGCGCTTCCACTGCCAGGGCCGGTGCTGACTCGGGCGCTTCTGCCGCCATGAAGTGATCCAAGGGAAGAAACAAAAGAAAGAACTGTCAAGTAGGGACCACCTTGAGCTGAGAGAAGAGAGCGGGCAAGGCAAGGAAACAGGGCCTGAACAGGGGAGGCGTGGTTTGACCAAGTTTGGGTGGGTTCGGTTGATTCAAGCCACGGCTAATGTTGAAAGGCCTGACGGTCAACCAGGCCATGAGATCCCGTTCTCATCCCAGGCCCAACTTGCCGACGCTTTCAAGTTGGGCATTGTTTTGTCCCAGTGGCGCAAGATTAATGAAACACTGGGCGCGGATGGTGAATTTGGATGGAACAACTTGCTCATATTACTCATATTGGGCGTCAAAAGCTGTGCCGGAACTCAATGGAACTCAACCG